GTATGTTTTCAGTTTTGTCATAAGATGTCCCAATGTTTGTGTGTCTGAATTAGGGCATCAATTAATTCGATCCTGTTTACTATGATTCCACTGGTTTTCATGTTTTTGTAGGTCTGGGCTTTGAACTTGGGGCCTCATGCTTGCATGGCTTGCTTACTCACTGGTGCTCTACCTCTTGAGCCATACCTGCAGCCCTTCTTTTTGCTCCTCCCCTCCCCGCCCCCACTGGTCTCAAACCTTAACTCAAATTACAGGCTTGATCTACTAGAACCCAGTTTCATTAAGAAAAAAGAAATTTCATGAGACTAAAAATCATGTAAAATGGTTGTTGTAGTCCCTTTTATATTTTGTTCTGATACTCCTACTGAATATTTCTAAAGAGACTTGTAAATTGTTTAAATTATATTTTATTTCCATTTGTATTCTATTATCTTTAAGTAGTTATACAAAGGAGGTAGCAATCTACATGTCATCTTGATGACATCTTGTCACTCTTTCCACATTTCCCCTCCCCTTCCCCACCCAGCCCCTTTCCTCAATGTTCTCTTAATTTTATAGGATATACATTGAATATTATGACTGTATTCTCCCCCTTCCTCTTTTTATTTGAGAGACATATAAATCTTGAGTTTTGATTGTGATTTTTTTTCCTTTGGCTGGTATGATTTTGGTTGGGTTTTGCCCAACATTAGTGAACAGCCAGCATCTTTAACAATGTAGTTGTTCTTCAGATTGTGTGTGTGTGTGTGTGTGTGTGTGTGTGTGTGTGTGTGTGTGTGTACATTTTTGTCAGTCCTGGGGCTTGAACTCAGGACTTGGGAACCTCGGTGCTGTTTTGAGCTTTTGTGCTCAAAGCTAGCACTCTAATACTTTGAGCCATGGCTCCACTTCTGGTTTTCTGGTGGTTAATTAGAGATAAGAGTCTCACAGACTTTTCCTGCAGGGCTGACTTTGAACCTCAGATCTCAGCCTCCTAAGTAACTAGAATTATAAGCATGAGCTACCATCACCCAGCTCAGATTATATTTTTTAAAGAAGATAGTATTCCATATTTTTTCAGCTTAAGAAAAAGGATAGACTAGACAAAGATATTATTTTTCAAAAAATACATGAGAGAGGAAGTCAGAAATTTGCTGTGACTGGTGGGAAAGGGGAAAAGAGAGGAAGAGAGAGAATCTTGGGAGGAGTGATTGATCAAGATGCACTGTATACATAAATGCACATGTTAAATTAAAACTTCCTCGTACAACCATTTGTAGATTTAAAAAAATACTTTAATTAAAGACGAAGAATTTGAGTCAGGTGCCAGTGGTTCGCACAGGTAATCCTAGTGACTCAGGAGACAGAGATATGGAGGACTGTGGTTCAAAGCCAGCCAGGAGAGAAAAGTCCATGAGAACCTTTTGTCCAATTAACCGCTATAAAACTGGACTGGAGGCATGGCTCAATTAGTAGAGTATCAGCCAAGTAGGCAAATGTGATTTAGGCCCTGAGCTCAAACTCCAGTACTGCCTCAATAAATAAACAAAGCAACTTTTGAACACACACACACACACACACACACACATATATAGTTGTTGGTGTAATAAATAACTTTCATCTGGAAGTATGACAAGCATCGTTTATGCCATATTTTTTGGTTATAGCAAAGCTCTATGTTAATAGATTTTTAGGACAAAAAATTGCCCTAATTTACTGAATATTGTATATATTCTTTAAAATAATAGTTCATTATCTTGATTGGTGTAAATAACCATTGTAAAAAGAAAAGGCTAGGAAAAAAAAGAAGAGGAAGTAAGGAAGGGAGGGAAAGAGAAAAAGGAAAGGAAGGATGGAGAGAAGGGAGGATAAAAGTAAGGAAGGAAGGAGGGAAGAAGGGAGGGAGTGAAGCAGAGAAGAAGGAAGAGAGGGAGAAAGAGGAAGGGAGGAAGAGAGGGATGAGAGGAAAAAGGAAGGAAAGGAAGGGAGGGAGAAAAATGGGGGAGAAAAGAAGGAAGGATGAAGGAAGAGAGGGAGAACATCAAGGGAAAAAGAAGGAAGGAAGGAGGGAGGGAAGGGAAGAAGAGTAGGAGGAAAGGAGGGAAGAGTAGGAGGAAGGGACAGAAAACTGAAGGCCATGCCTCAAAATGAGAGAAAATGAGAGAAAAATGATTGGAATACTAATTAAGAAATACCTACCGAGAAAATGAATGCCCTGGGTCCGTTTTTGCGAGTGAAGCTCCAGAGGTTTGAGAGCTGCCCCTCCATGGATGCAGAGCAGGTTTCTGACCACAAGTGTCTCAGGATCCATCCACTCATTCTGCCAGCGATCCACCCGAATAGAAACATGTTCACTCACCAAATACACAGCAGCCTTCAGGGAAATCCCTCATGCGTCCTGTTAGTTCCTCATGATCGATGGCTAGGTAGGTAAGAGCAGTTCTCTTCATTCAGGAAACTCAAGTCAGATAAGAATATGTATTTCAAGTAACAACCAAGCTTAATTCTGTCTTTTGGACCTACTAAAGCCCCGTTCTCCCTAGTGCCTTTCTCCACCCCCCACTTTTTTAAATTAGGCAAACTTCAAGGTCAGACTGCACTACTCAATATATTGTATCTCTGTTGTCTCTCTAGTCTGTCTGGAAGATTCTGGCATTCCTCTCAGGCTTTCACCCTGAAATAAAAATCTGTCTGACAAATCTATCTATCTATCTATCTCTATATATATCACATCAATAAAAAGCATCAGAAATGTTTGAGGTACCTATCAGATCATTGTCTGTGATTGCTCCTGGAGTAATTACTACTTAGCGATGGCTGCTCCAGCCTCCTCCTAGCTACAGCTTAGGTGGTCATAGGGATAACAATTAGGGAACATGCATTTATCTTTTGCTTGAGATGGCATTGGCAGAAAGATCAAGGTGCATTTTCTTCAATAATGTTTCAATGATTTTCCTTAGTTCTGGAAACCGTTAAGTGAGTCACATTTATTGAAAAGTGTGTTCCGATCCCTTGATATTGACAAACATGGTAAGAGGCACTAGAACAAGTAAAATACAGTGCAATGCAAGATAGAGAGCACTACCCAGCTAAAATAAACCAGAAACAACACTGTGAGGTTCACATTCAAATGAAATGTTTTGGAAGTTCTCCAACTTGCCATCCAACTGGTGTAATTACCATCATGTTTTAATAATCTCAACTCTTCAGATTAATATCAGAACTTAGAAGGATAAATAAAGATGATAAGATATCAAATTTAAATCTTTTTGACTTTTCATTTAGTATCAAAATATATTTGATAACCAAAAGTACTTTGATTTCAGCATGCTATGATTACATTTGACCACTAGATGGCAGCCATGTGAAAGTCTTCATATTTTAAGTCTTGTTCTATCTTGAATTTCACACTTTATGAAATTAAATGTATGCAATCCAATTTATGAATAAATTGTGAGATATGGATAACTAATAATTTTTTCATAGAATTCTTTCCAACTATAGTCATATAATTTATCAAGAATAAAATAACTACTTTTTTTGGGGGGGGGTTCCGGTCGTGGGGCCTAAACTCTGGGCCTGGGCACTGTCCCTCAGCTCTTCAGCTCAAGGCTAGCGCTCTACCACTTGAGCCACAGCGCCACTTCCGGCTTTTTTCTTTTTGCTTATGTGGTGCTGAGGTTCGAACCCAGGGCCTCAGGCATGCAAGGCAAGCACTCTACCACTGAGCCACCTTCCCAGCCCCAATAACTACATTTTTAATGATGAGCTTTTTTTTTCTTTTGTACTGTTCCTGGAGCTTGAACTCAGGGTCTGGATGCTGTCCCTTAGCTTTTTACACTTAAGGCTAGCACTCTACCACTCGACCAACAGCTCCAGTTCCAGACTTTTGGTGGTTAATTGGCAATATGAGTCTCATTAACTTTTCTGCCTGGCTGGCTTTGAACTGCAATTGTGAGATCTCAGCCTCTAGAGTAGTTAGGGTTACTAGTGTGAGCCACCGTTACCAAGCTAAAATATGCATTTCTTTAAAAACATAAGTAAAAATAATATTGCCACTACATTTAATGAACCTACTTTATGTAAAATTCTTTTTTTTGAAATGTTACTTGTAATTCAAAGTCTAGGCTGGGATTACAAACTTAGCTTATAAGAACATATAATTAAATATCTATAGTTTACCTATCATGTCAGTATTCCATTTAGTTAATAAAAATATGCTAAATATTGTATTGCTCTGTGACAATGGCTAGTAATATTTCACTTGAACCTGCATTTGTCCACAGAGAGATGTTAAAAATATATACATGAATTTAAAATACAATACAAAAATGTACAGTAAGCCATTAAAGTAGTTTGGTCTGCATTTATTTTATCTTGCTAAACTTGTGTAGCAACTAATCATATACTTTTCAAATCTGATTATAAAGCAACTTGTGTTTTTATTCTCCAAGTCAGAGCTACTGGCTCCATTAGAGAAATACGGAAAGCAAGCCTGCTGCCAAGGCTCACACCTGTACTACTAGCTATTCTTGAATAGCTTGAGGATTGAGGTTCAAAGCCAACTCAGGTAGAAAAGGCTGAGAAACTCCATCTCCAAAATAACCAGCATCCTAGAAGCATGGTTCAGATGATAGAGCACCATGCTTGAGCAAGAAAGCTGAACAAGCAAGAGCATAAAATTCTGAGTTAAAGCTCTGCCACCAGGGGAAAAAATATCAAAGGCAGTCATTTAGTGAGGGAATTGATTTAGATTAAAACACCAAATTTTTCTTTAAAGGACTTCAGAACTTCTCTTAAAATACATATTTATAATATATCACTTTATTCTTTCATGGTGGTATCTGATTTGCAGAAATTAGCTTTTAATAGCCATTTTTTTAATGTCTATTTTGACAGTCATACTATTTGTGGTAATCTTGTCAAAGTCATTATTTTGGTTAACCTCTGAGTTTCTGAAACTTCCCAATTCTGTGATTGAAAGCACACATACATTTACATATATACATAGCAAAATAATA